TTTTGGTTTGATTCATGGTGGCTCCACATGATACTTTCCCCACAAACAGGTTTCCCACTGCACTGCAGCTGCTGACCGCCGCTTCCACTTGCGCTTGTCGTGAAACCTGTGTTAAACAATACAGTTTAAGCTGACCTTTCCACCTTGCCGTTCCATCGCCTTCCTTCCCATTGAGACAATTGCGTTAACTGAAAAAACCCAAGTTCGAAGTGTGTAACCTTTGGAGTCACAAGGTTCCTTTTGGATTGTTTCCTTTTTCAGCAGGGGGACTGCCTGACTCTTCACAGCGGCAGTCCAACGAAGAGGCTGCTTTGAGTCACTGATATGGATTCTGGACGCAGAATCCACGTACCTGCTGAAGTGTGATGTTCACAAGCTTTGTCGTTCGATCGATGGTTTCTTTTGGATTTGCTGGCCACTTGAAACTTGATGGACCTCCACTTCCTTTCAGGTTTCTCACCTGTACCCTTAGGAAATGGTTACTTAGGCCGGCGTGTGGCAAACCGCATCCAATCAGCACGCATTTTCATAAGTGTGTGTGTGTGAGCGTGTTTTTAAAGCTAGTCGGCATATTATAGAAATCACTGTTTTATTTCTGGCTTCAGAACTCCATCAAGCTGAGTCTTCTGTGTTCTTTAAGCTTGTTTGGTCCAACATCAGGATATATTTGGCTCTTTGGAGAGGAGTTGTGCACACTCAATATCGATACAGTCGGATTGTACTTCCTAAATAGGTCAGACCCGGCCGGCCCCGGCGCTGATCGACGCCTCAATTTGCGAGAAGGAAACAATCTCACGAAGAGCGCTGAACGACGTGTCGCTCGTTCTGGTGGGAGTGCAAGGAGTGGAAATGCCCGTGTAGGAGCTGTGGGCGAATTTGCGCCTGAAATCATCGCGCTTGGAGAGAAGTTCAGACAGCCCTTGGATCCAAAGAAGGTCACAGATGTACTTCAACTGATGAATCCTTCAACGTTGGCCACCATCTTGCAGCTCTTCCCCGATGGGAAATATGACGTGGCGCTTCTGCAAGACACCTTTGTACCATATGATGATTCAGCTCCTTATGCGACCGGAATGACCAACTGGCTTCATGAGATCAGAGGGAAGACTGGCCTATGCTATCTCTCTTCTCCAGCTGATGGCAAATTCATTCCAGGCAACTTGAACCTCTTGTTGAAGACCCAAGCTTCTTTGGATCCTGAGCAGTTAAACTTCTATACCCAACAGCTGCAGACCTTGACCAAAACAGCCACCAGTGCCACAGCGGGACCTCGTCCCACCGCCTTGGTCTTCGATTTCTTCAACGAAGGCCACATCAACGCCGTGCGCTTCGACGAGGACGACGCGCAACGCGTCACGGGCACCGCGCCCGGGTCGCGCGCCACGGTCACGCGGCGCCGGCAGCGCCGGGCCGCCGAGGCGGCGGAGCCGACGTACCAAGAGCGTGGCCTGGCCAGAGCACGGGTGAGTGGGGTTCTAGTTGTTTTCTTGTGGTGAAGTATGGTGTACAAAAGCTTGTGAAGTTGTGATTGTAAAATTTTGGTGTAGTAAACAGGTTGTGATTCTCCTTGTGGGTTGTTGTTCTATGAGAATTCTTGTTGTTCTTAAGTATTGCTTACCTCTAAGGGTTTATTTTGTTTGTGTTCTTTCATAAGCACGCACTTAATGGTCGTACAATTCTTATAATTTGCTGTTCCTTGCTCTTTGCTCCACGTGATGATTTTCCTTGTACTTAGGGGTTATGACAATGTAGAAATGAAACAGGTTGGACAAAGTTCCTGCAGTTTCCTCATGGTTTCTGATGATGTTGTTTTCGACTTCCCAACGCCTTGCTCTCGGGCCTTGGTCTCTGGTCTCAGGCAAGATGAAGACGTGGATTCTGCTCGATGGGCACCACAAGGTTGAGGCAGCAGCACAACTTGGTTGTAGCTTAAACTTTCTGGTGGTCTCTCCCTGTGCTGAGCCCTATGCCCCTTTGGGGCCCGAAGATGCTCCCTACGTGACGCCTGTCACCAGCCAGGTCTCGTTTCCGCACCTGTTGCGCAAGGACACGCAGGGTCCATTGAAGGCTGACTGGGAGGCTGCACGTCTTTGCCGGCATTGTTCGATGCTCCTTAGTAGCTCCAAGGAACCTCCAGAAGCGTGTTTGATTTCCTTAGGGTGCCCATGCTTCCAGCAAGACTCGTTCCTCCCACGCTGGGCCTATGAAATTCTGGCTTGGAACAAGGGCGCCGTGGAAGGATGCAAACTCCTGCGGAAGCTACAGGAGTACTGGGGCAAGGATCATGAAGTCTTTACTCAATACTTCGACGTCGACTTTCAGGAGCTCCCTCAAGCAGTCTGTGACCAATGCTACGAAGATCCCTTCTTCCGACATCTGGATCAGCAATGACCTATCTATCGCCTGGTGGTCGGTCGAACAGACCGGTGTCACTGCCCTGGTGTCACCGGTGGCCCACCCTGGATCCCGGCTTTTTCTCGCAAGACTTGCGCGATCGCATGATGTACAGTGTACAGGATCGTCATTTTTGATTTCTTTGTTCAGCCGGGTGGCCGAGATGGTGAACAAAAAGGCCGCAAACAGGGGTGTTCCAGCAAGGCTTTTTCGCCAGCCGTGGATGGGTCCGTGCCTTTGGCATGCGAAGTCATGATCAGCCTTTGTTTCCACATCTTTTGGACCCAGCAAATCCATGTCAAAACACCCACGCGGCAGGGGGGGCCATACCGGGCCAAGGCTTGGCGGCCTTGGCCTCCCATACCAACACCGAACCACGGTTCGGACCCCGCCACTTTTGCGGTTGGTGGGGGGAGGAGTCGCCTCCTTGAGGCGCAGGGAGCAGGGAGGAACTGCTTTTCATCGATTCTTTTTCTGGGGAAGAGGTCTATAGAGGGTAGACTGGGATCCGTCGGGATCCCAAACTTGCATTGGGATCCATCCGGGTGTTTCTTTGGACACTGTGGATGGAGGGAAGCTTTACTACAGATGGGTGGTTGATTCATGTTGGTTCTTGTTCAGCCCCAAGCAGAGGCACGTGCCACAGTACTCCAAATTGGCAGGTTGGCAGGTTGAGAGCGACCCATGGCCCACGACGATTTCGTCGAGATATCGAGGCCCGCGGCGATGGAGACATGTGGGTGGGTTGCAAAACATGGACTGAGAGACATGCCTTGTTTCAAAGTTGAGCAGACACATGCCGTCGTCACAACCCGACGTTCTTGAAGCTTCCAAAACGCATATACCCTAACACTCCATGGGACTGCCATCTATGCCGCCCCATTGACCCCCAAACCACCCCGTAGGCAAACATGGCATACCTGGAGTGTCTGGGATAGATGACCTGTCATTTCTTGACCTTCCTCATCCGATCCGATTCTGAGGACGAGGGCGGCCATGCAGCGGACCCTACTTGGCCGTTTTTGAAGGCACAGATCAGCACAGACCCAGGACAAGAATCAACTGCATGTGTTGTTTGACTTTACTAACACTACAAAAGTGCTGCTTCTCTCGGAGTCAAAGTGGCTAAGTGGCCATGTCCAAAAAGGGTTCAATCCTGAGACGTAAAAGAGCAAGTAAGTGTCCTGTACCCAAAGAGAGGTCACTAGTTTAAGACTGACGAGAGGTTTTCCATTCAAGTCTGCCTTGAATCAGGATGACATGGAGGAGCATGTGCCAGATGGGCAAGGCACGATGTAAAAGAAATTGAGGCGGTGCAGTTGAAGTGCTCGTTTGGTGGACGATATTCTCATGTTGAATTCCTGTAGTTCCATGCATAGTAGGAGACAGTAAACTTCGTCACACATGTGTCTCCGACACTTTCAATATGGAATCGGAAATAATATTACATTTATCCGGTCACGCCACATCAATGTCAGGTTGAAAGATTTCAGGCTGGCTTCCTACAAACTGGAACATCAAGCCTGTAAATCTTCGGCGCGGCACGTGGTTCTTTCCCGCGTCCGGGCACATGGTTTGGAAACCTGGTTTCTTCCGGAAACGCCGAGTCAGCGGAGTTTGTGTGCTTTGACCGCGGAGGCGATGATGAGGTCGTTGCTGGCTGAAGAAGTGGACAACTCAGAGTCAGTGAAGTGCTGTAGGCTGTAGAAGGCTCCAATGCTTGTGGGACACTCTCCATCTTTGGCTGGGCTTTCTCTTGACTGCCATTGCCATGGTTATGCCCAAAAA